TTAAGACTTGTGGACTTCAGCTCCCAGAATTCTCCAGCCAGCACAGCAGCCATGTTGTGGCCCTGAAGCAGGGGTCCCCAAACTTGGCCACTTTAAGTCTTGTGGACTTCAACTCCCAGAATTCTCCAGACAGCTGGGAGTTGAAGTCCACAAGTCTTAAAGGGGCCAAGTTTGGGGACCCCTGTATTTAAGACTGAAGGCTGCTTGTCAAAGCTGATGGCCAGGCCTGTTTTTTTTTCCTTTTTTTTTCTTCCGAGGTTGGAAATAAATAATAAAAATGGCAGAACAAACGAAGCACTTGGTGCGACCTGCAGAGCTTTTGATGTTGGTGTGGAAGAATTAGTCTCAGTTCTGATTTACTGGTCTAGATAGAGCAACTGAGCGGCAGAAAAGTTATTGGAAGGAATGGCTGCGTGAGGCTGTTCATACTTGGCTTCCCCCAGGGTAAAAAGTGCAACCCTGCTCATCAGCATAAATTCAGTGGGAGGGTGAATGCAGAGTCTTCTCTCAAAAACTGGGATCTATTTTCTCCCTGCCTCTTGCTGGCCTGAAGAGGAAGCCTGCCCAGAGGCACTTTTTAATACAAATCGGATAAATGACATAAATACGGTAAATTCAGGGGAATTGGGCAGAATAATGTCTCTTTGATGGGGGTTCAAAGTCCTGTGAAGAAAACCCAGGCGGCTCCCTCTATCCCCAGAGCTGTATCTGGACCTGGACACCAATGTTCTGTTCCCATCCTTTTGGCTTCCTTTCCTCAGTGAGGTCTAGAAGCACACTTTGTGGCTCGTTCCAAGGAAAAGCGGGGCATCTGTGGGCATTCCAGACGTTGCCTCCCAGCCGGGCTTGGAAATGCTTGGGTTTCAGGGCTCCCCACTTGCTCTCGTTCCAGGTCAAGGTCTGGTTCCAGAACCGCAGAATCAAATGGCGCAAGCAGAGCCTGGAACAGAAGGCGGCCAAGCTCTCCTCGCAGTTCGGGGCCACGCGGACGGGCCGCCCTGGCCTGCTGGACGGGCAGGATAGCGACAGGCAGGAGGAAGAACTCAATGTGGACCTTTAGCCCTGCCTCCTGCCCCCCCCCCCCCACGCTCTTTGCAAGACAGGCCTGTCGGGCAGGGGTGGGCCCTGCCCCCTGGAAGAAATCAGCCAGCCACCGCAGGTGGAGACTTGGATCAGGCGGCCCTGCCTGGTTCTATTGGGGTGGGGGGAAAGAACACAGCTTCCAGTTGCCCGGCTGCAGCTGAAGGGGTCCTGGGTCAGCTCAGCTGCCACCTGGAAGCCTCTCTGACTCCCCCCACCCCTCGCGCTCCAGGTCTGGTATCCAGCCTGGCCCTTTCTCTGCCTCAGAAGCTGCAGATGAGCCCCATTCTCCCCTCTGGCTTGGAGTCTCCAACGGTGATAGATCCAGTGGATCCCTTCCTGGGACCCCTGACGGCCCCCTGCCTGCCTCCCAATGGTGGTATACAGCTGTGCTTCTCTTGTTTGAGGGGTTTCCCTGTTTTAAATTAATCAATCTACACACACACACACACACACACACAGAGACCCCCCCTGGCCGGCCCGGGGCCTGGGGGGGGGGGGTGGGAGATTCTTGCCCAGCCCCACCGGCACGTGTGTTGCCTGCCCACCAATTGGGGGGGGTGGTTAATACAGAAAGGGAACCAGGCCTGTGTCCTATGCCCCATCCGTCACTGGAGGAGAGCTTTCTGGCTCTGGGCTGAGCAGGTCCCCAGCCCTGCCTTGAACCCCTCAGCTCTGGGGCAGCCTTGGCCTTTGGGTGGGGCAGGCCCCGCCTCTCTGCGCCAAAGGGAGTCATGAAGAGTGTGTGTGTGTGTGTGGGGGGGTCTTTAGGCCTGTTGCCAGACCCCCTGCATTTGCCCGGCCTCCTCCCTGTCAGGTGCCCCTCCCAGACAGCGGGAATGGCTGCCGGCGTGCAGCTGGGGGGGGGGCGGGGGAGGGGCCTGGGGAGGCCGCCCCTCCGGGGGGGGGGGGAACTTGGAGCCCTTGTTGTCAGGAAGCAAGCCATGGGGGGGGAGGGTCTGTGCCCCTTCCCCATCATTGATTGCCATCCACATGAAGGCTCTGCTCCCACCTGGCACCTGGCCAGGAAGGCCGCAAGTCCGTGACGTCGTTTTAAAACTCTCTGGCTTCGCTGCTGTGCTGTGCTGCTTGGTTCAAGGCCGGCCTGCCCACCGGATTTTGCTGCCCGGACTTCGAAGGGAGGAAGAGGAGGAGGAGGAGGAAGAGGAGGAGAGCTGTGGGTCCTTGGTGTTACTCTGTAATCTCAGGAAAATGGCGCCTCTTTTGCTTACTGTAGGATTCTTGTAAATAGCTCCATTACACTTATTTATTTACGTAGGACTAGCTGTCTTTTTTATGAAGCTGTAAACCTGCAACTTAATTTATTTTTTTATTTTTTTGGGGGTATTTTTGTATTTTAATAAAGTCTAGTTTACAGAAAAGAAAATGACTGGCTATTTGGAGAACGAGTGGTTATTCTGGGCCAGAGGCCTCAGATTTCAGCTTGCATCCTCGGGGTGAATGCAAAATAAATGGAGTTTAGCATATTGCAGCCCACCCTTGTTCTGGGGTGGTGGGGGGGAGGTTCTGTTGATTGTGGTGGAAGAGACACCCCCCTCAAGCCTTTATTTCTTTGCATCCTTTATTATTTTTACAGAGTAACTCAATGGATCTTGACAGACTTGAACAATGGGCCCTATTTAACAAAATGAAATTCAGTGTAGAGAAAAGTAAAGTCTTACACTTAGGCAAGAAAAACCAAAAGTACACACACAGACTGGGTGAAACCAGGCTTAATAGCAGAAACTGTGAGAGGGATCTTGGAGTCTTAGGGGACAACCAGCTAAATAGGAGCCAGCA